CCTGGGGATGGGGAGCAGTGGGTTGGGAGTGAGAGGCACTGGGTTGGGACTGGCCATCAACATTTACAGATGGGTCCTTTTACAAAAAAGGCTGAGAACCACTGATGGAGTCCAACCCCCTGCTCAAAGCAGGACCATCCCCAGCTACATCCTCCCAGCCAAGGCTTTGTCTAGCCGGGTCTTAAAAACCTCTGAGGCTGGAGATTCCACAACCTCTCTGGGTGTGGTGAAATCTCCTACCACCTCTCTGGAAAACCTGTTTCAGTGTTTTACTACCCTTCTAATAAGTAAATTCTTCCTAATATCCGATCTAAACCTCCCTTGCTGCAGCTTGAGGCCATTGCTCCTTGTTCTGTCACCTGCCACCACTGAGAATAGTTCAGCTCCATCCTCTTTTGAACCCCCTTCAGATAGCTGAAGGCTGCCATTAAATACCCTGTAAGTCTTCTTTTCTCTAGACTAAATCAGCCCAGTTCCCTCAGCCTCTTCTCATAAGTCATGTCCCCCAGCCCCCTCGCCATTTTAATTACCCTTCGCTGGGCTCTCTCCAATGTGTCCACATCCTTTCTGTAGCAGCGGGCCCAAACCTGAACACAGTACTCCAGATGTGGCCTCACCAGGGCTCAATAGAGGGGAATAATCACTTCCCTGGATTTACTCACAAAACACCTACCAATGCAGCCCAGTATGGCATTAGCCTTCTTGGCGACAAGGACACACTACTGGCTCCTATTCAGCTGATTGTCTGCTGTAACCCCCAGGTCCTTTTCTGTAGAGCTGCTGCCCAGCCAGTCGGTCCCCAGCCTGTACTGGTGCATGGGATTGTTCTGTCCTAAGTTCAGGACTTTCCACTTGTCCTTGCTGAACCTCATGGGATTTCTTTTGGCCCAATCCACCAATTTTTCTGGGTTACTCTGACTCCTAGCTCTACCCTCCAGTATATCTACTACACCTCTCACTTGGTGTCACCTGCGAACTTGCTGAGGGTGCACTCTGTGCCATCTTCCAGGTCATTGTTGAAGATATTGAACAAAACCAGCCCCAGGACCAACTCCTGGGGCACTCTAGTTGATACCAACTTCCAACTAGACATCTAGCCATTGATTACTACCCTCTGAGCCTGTTGCTCCAGCCAGTTTTCTATCCACCTTATAGTCCATTCATCCAGCCCATACTTCCGTACCTTACCTGCAAGAATATTGTGGGAGACCAGATCAAAAGCCTTGCTAAAGTCAAGTTATACCACATCTGCTCGACTCCTCACATCTACAAAGCCAATCATTGCATCATAGAAGGCAATCAGGTTAATCAGGCATGACTTTCCCATGGTGGATTCATCCTGACTGTTCCTAATCACCTTCTTCTCCTCCAAGTGCTTAGAAATGGATACCTTGAAGATCTGCTCCATGATTTTTCCAGGGACTGAGATGAAAATAACTGGTATATAGTTGCCTGGATTCTCCTTTTTCCCTTTCTTAAATATGATCACTATATTTGCCCTTTTCCAGTCATCCAGGACCTCTCCCAATTGCCATGAGTTTTCAAAGATGATGTCCGTGGCTCTGCAGTCGCATCAGCCACATTACTGTGTTCTAGTGGGAAGCTAAGGATCTGACTGCACAGTAGCAGACCTTGGAAAGTCCTGCCATTAAAACAACTGTCATTGCAGACACAGAAGCTATGTGCATGTACAGGATGTAGGATGGAGTGGCCTTTTGGCAGTGACTCATTGGCTTGAGAACCCCATGACATGCTTTCTTGAGAAGACCACATAAACCAGATAGAAGAAATGAGATGTGTTATGCAGACTTGCAGAGCTGAGTGGCATCCATGTGCAGACCACTAGTTCAGGCCTAGGACTGCAAACCCATTTTTCTATAAAATGTGACTTCTAGAGACCATGGCTTTTCAAGTGAAGAAGGAACTTCTTTGAATTTATCCTTGTCCATCTGTATTTAGACATCTGCTGGGCTCTGCACAATATATGAGAAAGGGGAGCACTCTGAAAGATGACTGTTCTCCTGCATGGGCACTCTCTTTAAGTAGCCAGAATGTGCTTCCTCTGGGCCTGGGAGAATTAAAGTAGTAGGAACATCTGCGTCCCTATGTACTGGAAGAGAACAAAATTGAGAGAGGAGCTGGTCTGAACAGATTACTGCTCTTTATCATTGTACCTGTAGGAGAACCTCACACATGCATTGGTAAGGTGATGCTGCAATAAATATCTGTGTTGTGCACTTCCTTGCTATTGCTGTCGAGGTACTTGTACAAACAAAGGGATTGATCAAAGTGAAAGTTTAGTCAACCACTAAACACTGTAGTCTGTGGCAGTGAACAGTACAAGCAGTCCAGCTGCCTTACTGAGGAGCGTTAGGCCCCATGGGGGTAGCATGTACAAGGGATGCAGTACCATGCCAGATATATGAGGAATGCACATGGTCAGGCTACCTATTACTCTGCTGTGCCGGTACAGGGGTTAGTGAGCATGAAGTAAACTTGAGTGGAGAGAGGGCAGAATAGCTGCGGATCTCAGAAGTGAATGTTGGCCTACATCTCTAAGATGCAGCAGTTAGTGACAGCTCTGGGTCATCCTTTGTGTTAGGTTGCCTGCAGACTTCCTCAGTGTCTCTTGAGCTCTCTGGGGCACAGATGCTCTTGGTAATTAGGGTCCTGGATGAACTGCCCATAGTGTAGCGAGGATATTGGGTTTTTACCAGACTGGAAGTTCTCCCAGAACCAGTAAGCAGTCAGATGAAGCCCTCCCGCAGGCAGTTGGGATGATATGTCATTATGAGCTTGTTGATTTGCAGTCCTGGAAATCGTAAGCATTGCTGGCATAAAAATATCATTATACAAGCAATCTGGGGTCAACCTCAGGTCAGCAAGCTGGGAGTATGGGTTCTTTGAGGATGCCATCGGATTGAATTGGTATAATGCAGCCGCGGGCTATGTAGTGCAGAGGGCAGTGGGGTCTGAACATCAAAGTGGATATCTGTACTAGGTAACGACAATACCTAGTCATGATACAGGGGACAAGAGGGATGACAAATTTGGAAAGGCATTGGGAGATGCCTAGTGCTTGGGTAGATGTTTGTGTGCTATATCTTCAGCACTGGTTTCTGTTGGAGCAACTGAATGCAAATGAAAGCAAAAACATCGTCTTCATACAGCTACTGTTGAAATAAAATTTAGTTCTATGTGTTGTTCCACTACTTTTTGTTGTCTCATGAAATGAAAAACATGGATATATATGATGAGGCTTGCTCACTTATTTTGTAATACCCAGGGATTCATTGGGAATGTACTGCCAGTCTTTGGTGTGGAAATAACTAACACTTCAGACTACCTGATGTTTTCCATTGCAACCTATGAAGAATTGTTCTTGTCAGAACCAGATGCAGTGGGGATTAGTTGTTACTTTAGGACCTGTTCATGCTTGCATTTAAATCAATACAAATCCTAAGAAAAACCTCCACAAATGATCTATGTTTAAGATAATAAAGTTCACAGAAAAAAATATTTTCAAAATATTAGATATTAACTGGAACAAGTGTCATGAATGCAGCTTATGAGTAGAGTTGGGTGGAATATGATTTCCCATCCCACAAGTGTTTTTGGTATTTCATAAATTTTCTTGCTCTGCCTTAGGATGAGCATTTCAAAGTAAAATATTGGACAGAAAAATAAATTTATTCACAAATATGTAATAGCCATTCATGGTTAGGGCACTCTTCTGGGTGTATAGTACACCTGGGTCTAAATGTCTGCTCCAGTAAATATTTAATCAGTACGCAGTGGGACAGCTCCAACAGGAGAGGTTAAGAGAGATCCTTCCCAGACAAGCTGTTATTCTGGTGGTGAGAGCATCCCCGGGAATATGGGAAGCCCTTGTCCAGCTTTCTCAGTTGTTGGCTCTGATATACTAGGAGTTTCTTTTTTCTCTCTGCTTTTTACCAAAAATACACCATTGTTAAAAATGCAACATCCATTTCCACAAAAAGGCTCTAGTTTTAATTAGTTTGCACTTTCATACAAAACGCTGTTTCACTGGAAAACCGTCAACCTGCTCTGTACTATGACGTTGGGCTATATCAGAAGTCCAGACAAGTGAGCAATGACTCTTTCTTTTAATTATCTAATCCAGTTTTCATTTAGAGTTTATGAATTGCAGGTGTGTGGCCCATGCCTCAGGCACTGGGCATAGATGAGGTCCAGGTTTGTAGAACTTCTCCCTGCTTGATCGCCTTTTGTGTTGCCAAAAACCCACCACAGTTAATCCAGCACCGAGTGTTTAACCTTTGTAAAAGAAAGCAGTGTAGACATGATCTTTATGGTAAAGGTTTCCATGCTAAATGTTTCTGTTGTGTTTGTTCTTTGTTAGGAACGTAAGTTCAGATGGAGCAGAAGCTCGCAGAAGACTGAGGGAATGTGATGGCTTGGTGGATGCTCTCCTTCATGCTCTACAGTCTGCAGTAGGCAAGAAGGATACAGATAACAAGGTGATTCTTGTGTATTCTGATTTGGATGAGTGTGCTCCTTAAGATGCAACTGCTGACCTCACTGCACACTGAGGGTATTTTGCTCTTAAAATATAGGTATGAATTGAGATAGGCAAACCCACCTGGCCTTCCCAGCCTTGTTCTGGATCCTGGGGATCTTCACAAGCTACCTCCAAACATGGTGGCAGGACAGAGGGTGGTAGTCACTGTGGGGGTTCATGCAGCTGTTATTTGTCCCCTGCTGCTGACATTCATCCTTAACATGGCTTCATGCCCTGTGTCTTGGTGGTGCACCCATGCCACTGCTCTTCTTGACTTCCAGACCCCTCTGGGAGCCCCAGGGACCAGAAGGCATGACTTTGCAGGCTAATCTGACCCACAGGCTGTACATTTGACATCCCTGGTCTAAAGAGATGCCGAAAGGGTGCCTCATTTTGTAAGCCGCGTGGCTAGTATGGTACCATTTTATTGCTCATCTTTCTGACATGGGAAATATGCAAGGGGGAAGAGCAAATGGAAAGACAGCTGAAATGGGAGCTGAAATGGCAGTTATTTTTAATCCTCCTCCTTCTCCTCCTCAGTTGATTTCTATTTATACCCAAAGTCCTAAATTATAATTGTTGATCCTATTGTGTTGTACTCTATACAAAACACAGCCAAGGAGCTAGGCCCTGCCTGCGAAAACTTTTTTGAGTCTGTACTGTACATGCTGTACTGAGATCAAATCCTGTCCACAAGCAGACACGCATCAATCCCAGTGAAGCCTGTTAGAGTTCTGTTTGCTCTCAAAGGGCTATTTGGTTTTACCACTTCCTACAACATGTCAACATATTGTGACTTATGAATAAGGAGCCCTTATGCCCTCATCATCTACACGAGAGACTGTGGAATGCAATCGAATTTTAATACGAAGCTTTGTTAGTTTTATGCTGTGGTTTAGCCTTACATAAATGCACATATGTACGCACCTGCACACACTAGCTTAGTGCTATACACACACATACATATACATCTATATCTATAAATTAACGAGTCCCAGCCTGTGTGAGACCTACCCAAGAGAATCAACCCCAGAAGCTTTGTCATTTAATCAGATCCCTCCTTTTACACAGACCATTTTGTAAGTGGATTTTGAAACCACCCGATGGTTTCCATTGCAACCTATGGAGAATTGTTCTTGTTAGAACCTGACGTTTGAGGATTAGCTGTTACTATGGGACGTGCTTGCTCTCACATTGAAATCAATGCAAGTCCTAAGTTTGTGCCAGAGGTACTGCAGTTAAACCGGTCTTGTGAGGGGGCGGGTGTGGGGGGAGAGGAGGTGAAGTCTGCATTTTAAAAAGCATGTTTATGATGGTGCGATAGCTGCCCACTGTATTTTTACAGTGAGTTTGATCTTTAAGGGAACCTATTTTAAGCACGGTGAGTTGCTATCTTTGATCACAGAGCCTACCTTTTGCATAGGTGCTTATTTATGAAGTGTATTAAATAAAAAAAAAAGTTTTAATAAGAGAGAACTGAAATTAAGCTTTGTTTGATCAAATCCTCTTTGAACCCTACATTCTTGTCTCAGGGGGCTTTACTATTTTTTGATTCATAATTTCCCCCCATGTGACATAAGGTTGCAAATAGACAGGTGTTTCTTTCTTCCTTTGTTTTGTTTTTTTTTTTAATTTAAGTTTCTTGTTACAGTCTGTAGAGAACTGTGTGTGCATCATGAGGAACCTTTCATATCATGTCCACAAAGAGGTCCCAGGAGCTGACAAGTACCAGGAGCAAGATGCAAATCAGCCTATGAGCACAGGAGGCTCTCAGAAGAAGAAGAAGGATGACGCAGGCTGTTTTGGTGGGAAGAAAGCTAAAGGTGTGTGTCAGAGAGGTCTCTGAAATTTGGAGTGGTTTTTGGAGTTGTACTGCTATATTGTGGTCTCAAGTCCTGCTGCTGCCAGCACACCTGTGTAACTTCATTTACACCAGCAGTTTCCTTGGGTTCAATGAGGCTATCCATGTGCAGAGTTGCAGCATTGCATGTTTGTGGACTTGGGGCATGTGTTCATTCCTAGATATTGGGGTCTGCTCCCCTCTTGATGCATGTACTTAACTTCCATTTAGCATTTAAGTGGGGTTATGTACTTTGAAGTAAGAACAGGCCCATTGACACCCATGGCTGGGCAAAGGTTGATGCGTTCTGCCTCTCATTCATGGGCTGTTGTTCCTTCATTCATCAAACCCCCTGCCAAATTGCACATTAGTTCCATCCATCTTGCTCCAAAGCATTTGCTGCTGTATGCGGAAGCAAGAGAGATGCATGCTAATTTCTATGCATAGTTGTCCTTTCTATGCCTGTTTCACATCTTCTAGCGATCACATTTAAAAAAAAGAAAAACAACTCCCCCCCTTCCCCCCCCGCAAAATAAGACGACAAAAAAATCTTGATGCTGTCATTCTTGCATTCATTTAAATTGCAAATGTGATTCTAGTAGCTTTTAATTGTCAATCACTTCAGACCTGTTCTCTCCCTTTTGGGTATGAATGTCACAAATACATTGCTTCTGGAGAGGGGATGAATAGTGTCTCAGTAAACCCCTTTTTATCTTCCTTTTCAATACTTCAACTTATATGTGTTACTTGGTACTTGAGAGAAATTCAACTTCCCAACCAAATTAGGAGGCAACGTACTCATTTCTCTGACTCGGGCACTTAATTCCTGTTTCTTTATATTTATGTCAGTCCTTAATATAGATGTCCAGATACTGACTGGATTTGGTACTGAAGTGCAGATCACTAGTCAGCCTTGGAATGCCTCTAATTTAAGCGCATAAATTTGAAGGCCCAGTCTGGGCCCTAACAACTGATCCTAAATTTAAAAATTGGTCTTTGCCCCTGTACTAAATTTCAGTATCCCGTTTCTGAATCAGCGTACAATATATATAAGTTACTGTAATGTGAATTTGCTTTCGTGGTAACTACAGTCTCTTTTCAAGCCAACTGAATCTTTTATGTACATTGAAAAATAGTTCTTTAGCAACTGGGGAAAAAAAAACCCTTGAAAAGGCAGAAAATCTTACCTGCCTGGCCAGGACTGTCTACCAAAAAGGTAAAGCAATTTTCCCTTGGAAATAATATATACTGATGTGGGCTGTCCATTCTCATCACTTGTGGGTGCAGGTTACCCTGTCACTTGAGAGCAATGCAGTTTGTGTCAATGTGTGAAAAAATATTCCCTGGGGTGAGCAGGAACGCACACCATTGCTGAGGTCCGAGGAGGAGTGTTCACAAATGGCTGTTCCACTTGTTTGTCAGAAGTCTGTCCACTTCCTGCTGGGCCCAGCTCCAGTGTCACTGGGTCTATGGCTTCTGCATCATCAGCCAAAACTTCTGGGGACATTTGTGTTTGTGGGCAAACAGGTGTCAAAACTGTGAGATGCTGAGGACAAACTCCTGTTGACTTCAGTGAGAAAGGCAGATACACGGTGACCTCTCAGTTGTTGGCCCTATGTGTCCAGCAGAAAAAAGCAATTATTTTTCCTAAGCGTGTTTTAACACTTTTTCCTTGTAGCTCTCGGCTGCAAAAAGTCATGCTGTTCTTTTGGGTAGGATTGAGTGGTAGCTGTGCTGAGCTCCCAGCCAGTGGTATACAGATCAGAAGGGCTGAGAAGGACAGGCAAGCCTAGCATAAAAAAAAAAAAAAAAAAAAAA